ATTTATGCAATAAGCAGATGCTTTTATCCAAAGTGACTTACAAATATGTTTTTCTTTATAATAACATCACTGATGAATAATTCACGATAAGAGAAGAGTCTGATAACAAGGAATTATATACATCTAAAATAATTTCAATAAATAATAAATAAATAAACTGAAAAAATACTTTAAAAAACAAAAATTTCTAGTAAATTTCATAAATAATTACAACGAAACGCAAGTAACATTTAATTAAATGTGAAATTCTGTTGAAGTAGAAAAACTGAAATTGTATTTCCTTGTAAAAAGTACTCCAATATTTATTCACAACTTTGAAAATCATTTTTTACAGTGTACTAAAGTGCATTAATATATTAATTCCCAGATGTGAGCTGAACATCTACTGTAAGTCATTCATATGGTAACTAAAGCTGAGTGTAACTGTTGATTATCACTGTGGGGTTTTGAGCTCATAATGCGGGGTGAGCGTGAGGAGGTGGGCTTCACCGTCACTATGAATGGATGCGTGATAGTACACAGTGTTCTTTTGTGAACTCCCACACATTCATATAGAAATGCAGCAGAACACCGTCTGTGGAGGAACAGGGTGTCATACACGTGCTCGTGGGCTTCAACCATATGTATTGGCCTGAATGAAAATGGAATAGTTCAAATTATTAGTTTATCATGAAAAATTATTCTCACATTGTTGGTATCCATGTAAAAGATACACTTAAAAAATTAATTTAATGTGCATTCAATTATGTTGTGTCAAGATGCATTAAACTATTATATCAAATGACATTTTCGGATTTTCAGAAAATAATTACTTAAATTTGGGTTTGATTCTCAAACAAACCCGTCACTTCAGAAGACTTGAAATATAGAGCAGAAGTCATACTGTTATGATGCTTTTTTGTCCTTTTCAGAGCTCGAAAGCATCCTTCCTCATTCACTTTCATTACACTAAAGTTTGTAATAATTTAGATTTTTTTTTTTTATGTTTTTAAAGAAGCCTTTTCTGCTTACCAAGGCTGCATTTATTTGATCAAAAATACAGTACAATTATAAATATTGTGAAATATTATTACAGTTTAACTGTTTTCCATGTGAATTTATTGTAAAATGTAATTTATTCCTGTGATGCACAGCTGAAGTGTCACATCCTTCTAGTAATAATAAATCATTCTAATATGCTGATTTGCCGCTCAAGAAACATTTCTGATTATTATCAATTTTGAAAACAGCTGTGCTACTTCATATTTTTGTGGAAACTGTGATACATTTTATTTTTATAGGATTCTTTGATAAATAGAATGTTTAAAATAACAGCATTTATTTGAAATAGAAATCTTTTGTAATGACATTAGAAAAAAAAATGTCTTTAGAAATGTCTTTATTGTCACTTTTGATCAATTTAATGCATCCTTGCTGAATGAAAGCATTATTTTCTTACATTGCCCAACAATTTGAAAGACAATCACGGTTTTCACGCACAAAAAATAATAATAATAATTAGTTTGATTAATCTCTAAAACTATTGGTAAATTAATCCCTGTTTGCACTAAAATTTGTATTTTTGGTCTTCTTCCACCTGCCTTATCTTTGAAAACATAAGTTTGTAAACCTGTGTCTACTGCATGCAAAACGCCTCATTGTCATTCACTGGAAAAGTATTCATGGTCCATCTCTGCCACTCTGGATGAAAGAATTGTCGTCTTGTGTGGATGGAGAAAAAAAGCACATATTTTACAAGATCTGGGACTTTCTTCGCTTTCTAGAACAGAATGGACTGACTCTTGAATAATACCACATAATCTGATCATGTGTTTAATGACAGTTGACTGTGTTAAAGGGGTCATATGATGCGATTTCAAGTTTTCCTTTCTCTTTGGAGTGTTACAAGCTGATTGTGCATAGATAAGATCCCTGAAGTTGCAAAGACTAAAGTCTCAAAAACAATGCACTGGGTCAGCTGGCCAATCAGACCAGACTGGGCTTGTCGGAATGAGGGACTTTGTAAAAAACTAAGCGTTTGAGAGAGGCGGGGCATAGAGGACCTACAATAATGTACAGTATTTGAAAAATAATGTGTTTTTTGAACATTAAAGCATGTCAACATATTCTGTTACACCAAATACACAAAATAATGATCTTTAAAACAGCATCATATGACCCCTTTAAGTGAATTGTGTTTGTCATTCCTTATTTTTCTTATTGTTAAAAAAAAACATTAAAAATCTTATTTTAAATAAGATTATGTATATGTTAAAGACATTTTCCATTTATACGGCTTATTGCATTAATGCATTCAAGCATTCAAGCATTGTTAGCACCATGCTTTACTATTTGAGCTACAGTGCTGGTAGAAGGCAGCATGAACATCCTCCAAAACATCTCCTTTTTTATTGCACATATAAAAGAGAGTCATACAAGTTTGAAATAATATGACAGTGATGAAATGACGTTAGAACTGAATTTTTTTTAATGACTATTTCTTTAAGTTATGGTAAGTGCGCACTATTGCCTGCAGATAAGCGCTGTGTTTGAGCAGGTACAAATACTGTATGTGATGAGAGAGAGACTCTAAAGATTCCCTGTAGCCTGCATGTCTGCTGTTTCTGACGAAACACTATTAAGTGACTCAGCTTCAGTAAACAAACACTAAGCAGGAGATCCGTGAAGTGTCATATCTTATATGAGAAGCAGAATGCAATTTGGCTCTGTGTGCAATTTTTGAATAGCGACACATATTGCACAACACCCAAATCCAGCGTCTGACAGCACTGGCACAAATCCACCAGCGTGCCTGAAGATGTAATAAATATTCTCTTAACGGCACATAATACTTGTGAATATCTGTCAGAGCATGAACATACATGCCGATGCTTTTGTCCCAGTCATTGACACTGAAGCTTCTATTCTGGATGCAGCATGAATTATCCATCAACTCAAAGCTCAGGTCATCATATGTGAGTTTGGAGAAGAAGAAAGTGCCTTATTTAATAATTAAAATAATGTTACTCAACGACAGGAAGCTTCAGCTTTGAAAGCTTCGACGTCCATCGTTTACTTGCCCTCATGTCGTTCCAAACCCGTATGACTTTCTTTACAAACAGCTCTAGTTCATAGACATAAAAAAATCTGTATTATTTTAGTATAACAGATCATTTTATAGTTTTATTTTAAAGGGGTCATATGACATTGCTAAAAAGAATATTATTTTGTGTATTTGGTGTAATGCAATGTGTTTGTCTGGTTTAAGGTTCAAAAAACATAAAACCCATTACAAATGAGGCATTTGTTGCATCCAGGGGACATAATTACGGATTTTAATGACTTGTACTGTCTTTTTACACGTTGTGTTGCGTTTCGCACCACGTCAACATAAAACCATGTCTGCATTTGTGATCGGAAAAACAACAAACAACAAAAGCTACTCTACAATGCTCAAAACTCACGTTTGAATCATCAGTGGCAAATTCTTATCCCAGGTTCAGGAAACAGTCGTCCGTAAAATGCGCTGCACACATCTGAATATTTGGGTTGAACTCAGTGCTTAATTTGAGCCGGATCCTGCCAGATCCTGTTCTGGAAAATGTCAGATTTTGGATTTTTCATTCCGGTAATTGTTTTTAAGGATCCGCCATTAGATAGTGACAGTGCGTGCGTGCATGTGAGAGCGAGCGCATATTTGGAGGTTATGCATTGGTCCTTAACATATTTTTGACTGTGACCAGTCAGCTTTCTTCAAACTCGCTCTCATTGATGTTTTGTGAGCAGCAGAAAGTTTGGAGAGAGTGTATTAATACCAGAAATAATGCCAAATAAAGTGAACTCTTATAATGTATAAACATTATAAAAACTATAAACACAGCTATACGTTAGTATAGCTCACTCCAAAACAAATTATATAAATGTAACGGTATTCAGAACAGAACAAGAATGAAATAAAAATATATAAACCAAAACAAAGCGAAACTGAAAGTACCAGGCGTTAATTGGGCTCACGTGCCTCTCATTCGGCACAAATCCTAATGTTTCCATATTCGCGATGTATTTGAATGAAACTATTATTTATAATGTAGACGCTTTGTACTTCACGCGCGTTCGTATATCGACAGAAATATAATATTCACATGAGCAAAAATGTGCTTGGCATACAAAGTGGACCAGTTATGCCACCGACTATTTAAATTGACCAGTGTAACATTTTTTTTGATTGACTGTAGGCTATTTTATTTTGATAATGAACAGACTGTGATGTTTGAGTTGCGAATATGTGGTGTGTGTGAGCGCGCGCGAGGCGCCGGCGCGCTTGAACAGCTGAAACATAAAATACATAATTTTTGGTCATACAGATAAGAGTAAGACATAATTCGAAAGCACAAAGTGTTTACTTTTATTTTTGCACACTCAAAATAACAACAGAACATTTGTGATTTTGTAAAATAAAGCAAGGATGCACGTTTAATTATAACTGTTATTTATTTAAGTCAGATATTTTTTGCATATTTACACCTATACTATGATTGAATTTTATTTTTATGAAAACAAATTTTGTTATTTTTAATGTATCTTAGATATACATTTTCCTAAAATCATCCTGGCAACCCATTTTTGACCCAGGGTTTGAAGCTGTGCCCTAGTTAGGTTAATGCAGAAACTTGTGAACAATGCTCTCTATATAATTGTGGCATCACCGTTTAGTGACGTCATTGAATGTTCCGGGAAAACTTAAGTTGTATTTTCAGTGTCGATCACAGCGCCTTTTAATTGCTGTTTTGGATCCGGCAATTATTCATTTACAAATTAAGCACTGCTCATCCTCATGTTACAAACCTGCATGACTTTCTTCCTTTCTACGGAACACAAAAGAAGATATTTTGAGGAATGTTTCAACTGTTTTTGTCCATACAGTCAAAGCCTGTAGGGTCTAAATCAGCACTGGATTCCATTGACAAAGACAGTTTTCTATGGTTTTTAATATCATTCACTGTTACTTATTGTCCTTTTTGTTTAGGTCCATTGTATAAGCACAGAGTTCACCATGCGTAAGCATGGAGGAGAGAAGGGAGTGCCGTTCCGTATTCAAATCGACACTTTCAAGGAGAACGAGGCTGGGGAGTACACTGAGCATCTGCACTCTGCCAGCTGCCAATTCAAAGTTTTTAAGGTGGGCTGAGGCCTTCTCTGATAAACATTTTCTATGTGACAATGAAAGTAGTTTTTCATTAGTGCAGCATAATTTTTGTGCAATCTTGCAACCAAAACAAGATCTTCTTAGGAAATTAGATGATAATACAAGGTTTGTTTAGCCTAAAGGTGCGGACAGAAAGCAGAAAACAGACAGAGAAAAAATGGAGAAGCGAGCACCGCAGGAAAAGGAGAAATACCAGCCTTCATATGAAACCATGCCACCGACTATTTAAATTGACCAGTGTAACATTTTTTTTGATTGACTGTAGGCTATTTTATTTTGATAATGAACAGACTGTGATGTTTGAGTTGCGAATATGTGGTGTGTGTGAGCGCGCGCGAGGCGCCGGCGCGCTTGAACAGCTGAAACATAAAATACATAATTTTTGGTCATACAGATAAGAGTAAGACATAATTCGAAAGCACAAAGTGTTTACTTTTATTTTTGCACACTCAAAATAACAATAGAACAGTTGTGATTTTGTAAAATAAAGCAAGGATGCGTGTTTAATTAAAACTGTTACTTATTTAAGTCAGATATTTTTTGCATATTTATACCTATACTATGATTGAATTTTATTTTTATGAAAACAAATTTTGTTATTTTTAATGTATCTTAGATATACATTTTCCTAAAATCATCCTGGCAACCCATTTTTGACCCAGGGTTTGAAGCTGTGCCCTAGTTAGGTTAATGCAGAAACTTGTGAACGATGCTCTCTATATAATTGTGGCATCACCGTTTAGTGACGTCATTGAATGTCACAGCACCTTTTAATTGCTGTTTTGGATCCGGCAATTATTCATTTACAAATTAAGCACTGATTGAACTGTTCTGGAACAGTGTTGTAACTACAACTTAACTACTGATTTCTAGTTGTGTCCTCTTTTGGAAGGCCATACAAAGTAGTTTCTCTTTCACAACGAAGCACACAGCGTCTCCACGACATGGCGGCGGCAACCTTTTTCATTTTCATTTTAGTTGAAAGTTCCAAGAGTTAAAAGTTTTGTCATTTTCTTTTTTTTTCTTTTTTCTTTTTTGTATGTTTTTGTAATTTTCATATATATATATA